GGTTCCTGAAAATAAAGTCTTGGTAAAGTATTCTCCAGCGTCTCCTCGTTCCTCGTGTGTGTGTGCATCGTGACACCCCCTCATTTACACACACACAGACACACTCAGTAAATTATGTTCTTTCTAAGAGCAAAGAGCAGACTGGTCTCCAGTGCTCTACGAGAGAAGAGGGGGATGATGGGTAAACATATGGGTCATGTGATGCAGGCCACGGTGAACTGTGAAAGTGTCAATTCAGCCGAACAACCCTTTCAGCCCATCTGTTTGTTCTCTCGTTTTCGCCTTCATTATTTATTAATGGATGGATATGACCTCGTTCTGCAGCGGAGAATTTAAACATCAGTCCATTTGTTGCCCAACTACGGCTGGCCTAGCAATATAGCTAAATAATATCTCTATATTTTTCTCAATATCTATCTGTCTATCTATCTACACTTTTTAATGTTTTATTTTGTAATAGTGGCGTTGTTTTATTTTGTACTACGAATTTTTTTTTTCTCATCCAATATTTTGAGAAGACACTGCCTCCCTTGCCTACTCGGAGGAAACACCCCTATGTATGTGTATATATAGATAGATAGATTTTTTTTTTAAATCAAATGTACATACAGTCACATTTTCTTGGTTAAATAAACTTTACTTACACTATCAGAAAAATAAAAATATATATATTTTATATTTTTACATTAACAATGTAATCAATATTCTATTTATTAAAGTCAAGTATGAATCTCATCAAGTTAGTGTTTTTAAGTACTTTACATTTATTTTAAAATAATAACTCAAGGAAGTAACAATTTAAACAATATATTTTATTATCGCGTGAACCAATCACAGCTGAACATAACCAGTCATATCCAATCATATCTCGATGGAGCCTCCTCTCATGTGAGTTTCCCCATTCATTCTCAATTACCCCCCACCAAACCCACCACATGCTTTAGGAGGTCTGTTAAAACTCAATGGGCTCAGGGGGGGCATGAGAGACTGTTACTCCCACTGTTACTTTACCTGCTGGTGTCGCTGTTGGACAATGTTTCTTTAGAAAAACTGTTAAAGGTAAGTAATTTCTTGATAATTAAGTGTTATATGGCCCACTGAATCATACTCGGACTTAATGCTGACAACAATGAAACCACTTGAGAGAGAACTGTCAGGAGATTTATTTCTTAGCATAAAAGAGGACAATGGTACAAGAGGAATACCAAACTATTGTTTTAAGTGTGAAAATATAGCCAAAGTAACACAGAAATTCAAAAGCAATGGACTTGTGAAAATGCTACCCTCTTCTCATTCCCTGCATTGTTGGGCATTTTTTTTAACATGACAATGAAGATATTCATTCTCCTGAGTTGAAAATCCTTCAGTGGACATGTATTTCACTCAATCTTAACACTCTTGAGCTGCTGTGAGAGATTCTGTAGAGACGAGCTGAGCAACACTCCCCATTAAAGACCAGGGCATTTAAGGAGGTCGTCCTCCAGGAGTTAAACAGCACAGATGTGAAAATCTGTCATGAACTTGTACACTCAGTGCCAAGAAGTGTCAGAGCAGTGTACTTAGAGTTATGGAGGACATATGAAGTTCTAGAATATTACACTTGGTTGAATTAAATCTAGGTTGTACTCAATTCTGCAATCCTTCATTTAAACAAAAATTGGCTAAGTTTCTTATTTTACAGATATTAATGGCATGTATTTCTCTGTTTTTATTAAGAATATGTTTAATATGTTTTAATACGTTTTAAAACGTTTGAATTATATTAGTGATAATTAAGAAAATACATCTTTTATATTTAATCAGAGGGGGTGTACTCATTTATGCTGTGCACTGTATGTATATATATATATATACACACACACACAGATGCGCGTTGTTTGTCTGTTTTGTGTTTACTGTAATATCCCTGACATTGAGAGAGAAACACATGGCCCCATGCTGTCTGATCTCCATCTTACTTTCATTACTTCTATAGTTTGACTTTAGTGTTTACCTTCTTGTTTGAGTTTACTTTAAACATTTCATCTTTATAGTGAGTAAAGACTTTTGTGGCATTTGTATGGAGCGCGTGCATTCAACTGTGAACAGACGAACAGAGCACCAGCCGGGTGTTTGTATGGATACACCTGAACGCAGCCATCCCTGCACTGATTATAAACACATATCACAACACTAACAAAAAAACAACAGAGCACCCACCCACCCACACACGCATGCTCTGCTGATGACTGCTTCCTTTTTTGACAAGGAAAACTTGAAATCGCATCATATGACCCCTTTAAGCTTTTTTTTTGTAAAATATGCATTTAATTCTTTTGATTATGTGTTGAAATATGTTCAGACATGTTCTTTACAGGGTTTGAGAGATTCACTTACATGAATCAAACCAATGACTTTGTGGTTGTTAGAATCAAGCTCTACCAGAGGAGCTACAAGATAATTTTCATTTTGAGGGAAGGGGGAACAGAGAAAAATGGACAGCTAAATATTTCAGTAGTTGCTGATGTATGCTTGTGTCTAGACTGGGGATGAGGGGGCAAGGATGCATGAAAGAGGCACGCGTGTGTGTGTGTGTGTGTGTGTGTGTGTGTGTGTCTTTGCCAACACTGGGTAAAAAGCGACGGGAAATAAGTGCAAAGTTCACAGAATGTGTTTTTGTCTATCAGTAAACAGGAAGCTTGTTTTGTTACACTAAAAATTAATGCAGATGCTTTTCTAATATAACATTGACCATCTTTATTTATATCCCACACAGCTTGAAAAAACAAAAAGCACCCAGTTGGGTTATTGATGTAAAGTGTCCTGTCCTGAAACATAAGACCTCCTCTGTCGTCCTAAGTGCTTCTCTCTGTGAGTGTTTCTCTTACTGAGAGCAGAAAGTAGGATAGAGCCCCTTTAGGAAACACTCGCAACAAAAGAATGAGACCTGCTGTAAAACGGGTGAACAAAATGTGTCTTGTCATTTCCAAATGTGCCAGTGCCGTTTTTAAATGTGTCAGTGAATGGGAAGAATATACTATATTTTTTTACTTTCTATTCTTCAAAGAATTCGGAAAAAAAATCATTTTTTTCCACAAAAATATTAAGCAGCACAACTCTTTTCAACATTGATAATAATAATAATAATAAAAATAATACATTTTTCTTGAGTAGCAAATCAGCATATTAGTATGATTTCTGAAGGATCATGTGACACTGAAGTAATGACTGCTGAAAATACAGCTTTGCATCACAGCAATAAATTACATCATAAAATATATTCAAACAGAAAACAGTTATTTTAAATATTAACAATATTTCATAATATTACAGTTTTTACTGTGCAGCCTTGGTGAGCATAAGAGACTTTAAAAAATCTTACAAACCCCAGATTTGTAAACTATGTTTTCCTCTGTTACTCTCTCTTTCTGGTTTTCCTCACAAACTATGAAGCTGAACATTTGGCCTAAATTAATGCATCAAACATACACAGCAGCTCATATACCATAACCGACTAATTGCATAATAACTCTCAGCCTTCTGCCTGTTCTTTGAGTATATATGTGCACGTGCGTGAGTGTGTGAGGGAGCGAGAGAACATAATTATGTGTTAATAAGTATACGTGTGTACGTGTGAGAGACTAATTATGTGTTAATAAATTTATTTGTGTGAAAGTAAGTGTTTGTGATGGTGTGAATATTTGTGTGTGAATAAGCGTGGAAGATTATGAGTACATGAAGTATGCGTGTGCATGAACACTTCTATGTCATGACCTACATGCATTTAAGTGGGTTTGCATGTGAGTACTGTTTGTGTATATGAGAAGTTGTACTCACTGTCTAAGCATTGACCACATTCGGTCTGGGTGGCCCCACACACCTTGACCACTCCCTCTCCTGGAGGACACAGCATACAGCACTCCCCA